ATGACTATAAATATGAACCGCAAGGCTCGAATAATCGTATCTCTAAATTGTCCATTTTTTGTGGACAATCTGAGCGTGTCGATTAGAGAGACATTACTGTAGTCTGAGCGTCAATTAGGGGGAATTTACTGTATTTCGAAGCGATGATGAATAAATCGGGAAACGTACGGACCTGATTCAAGATAGCGGCAATTAAGTAATGCATCAATATCGAGTGAGGAGAACTGGTTTACAGGGATTGTTTGCGAAAATCCAAGTCGAACGCGATCGAATCCCGCGAGATTTCCGAGTCGATCGTCAACTGAACAGAAGAAGGCAGCATGAACGGGGCAGCCGGGAGCGTAGCGTTTATCCAGCCGTCCAATCCATCAGGGAACTCCAATTACGGGGCAATAAAGGCACGGGAAACGCCAAAGGGAAGGATTGAGTAGCAGCGGTACAGGTGGTTATTTTCATTCAATCACAAACGAGTCCTGATAAGATGTACCGATACGTGGTCGTTACCAGTGAGATGGGCCTCGAGGCGTCACGACCCGAACCTTCCGAGCGATGTACGTTGCTCGAAACAGTCCCGGTATCAGCTCCGGTACCATAAACATTATTAACAAATATACGTCGATCGTACCCCGTAATATTAACGGGTTCAAATCCCGCGTTAACTTTCCTTCCCTATCTCATTAATCGCAGCGAATAGCCGGCAATGTCGAACAGCTTGCCACCAGATATATTCCCTTCGAAATCACGGCAGAAGCTTGTAGTTTTATTATCTCTGCAGCAAAGTAGCAGTTCGCTATAGTTTTGGTTTCTCTGTAAAATCCTGAAGAGTTTGAATCTTTTGTTTCTGAATGCTGGTTTACACCTGAAGGAGGACTCTGCTTAAACATTTCTATATGTTTATTTGCGTGTTTGCAAAGTATCGGATAATTTATCTTGAAAATTTTCGACAGATCCGCTTTATAGTATGTCGGAAAAAAAATCGTGATCGCAAAATTGACGGCTACATAATAGAGACGTGCGGGAGAGAGAGAGTTCGCATAAACATTTTTATTTTCACAACTATCAGATATTTTGTAACAAAAAAATTCACGTACATTTCTCAAGTATCGGATAATTTATCCGAAAAATTTCAGAAAGATTCGCTGTATAGTTTCTCAGAAAAAAAATGGCGATCGCAAAATCGACGGCTACGAAATAGATACAGATATACTATCTGTGCGGGAGAGAGTTTACATAAACATTTTTAGATCCACTTCTATCGGATACTTTCCAACAACAAAATTCACACACACTTCTCAAGCATCAGACAATTTATCCGAAAAATTGCAGAAAGATCCGCTTTATACTTTTTCGAAAAAAAAAGAATCTCGAACATCGTCTTGGATTCAACCTTCGAAACGAGGCACCCGCTCGAGAAGTATAATTAAATTTCCGGTCCCAATTGACCCCGGCGTCATCGTCCGCCGTCTTTCCTCGCTCGTCTATCGAACAGCCCTTCTCTCCATTAAATTCCAGAGATCCGATCTCGACGAAGCACGCCCGATGTCGTTCATTAAGTCACGATGTCAAAGACATTGATGTCACGCTTTCGTTACGCGTATCGAGTGTTCGTGCAGGCCCGATGTTGCGATACCGGGTAGCAGCTGGATCGAATAGCAACTCGGTAGCGCGAAACGTGTGTGCAACCGTTCGCTCGTACTCGCGGGAAAAATGTCGCGGGACGTGTGTTTCGCGATCTCGATGGACCGAGGCGAGACGTCGAAGCCGCGTGACGAGCCTCCGCCGGGTTGTACGTTTTATTGTCTCCGTGTAGACGCGGCTTAATGCGATCGTTATCGGCGGCCCCGGGACCCGGGCCCAGGGCCCCGCGCGATGCCCGCGATCCATTACGATTCAATGCGACCGGATTGCAAATTTTCCCACAGACGTCATTGGCGCGCGACACGCGTCCTCGTCGCGTCCCGGCTTCCATCAAGTGCGGTCGCGGCTTAATGCGATCGTTATCGGCCGGCCAGGACCGCGTCGGGTTTTCTTAGCGATACATTTTCTCACGGATTTCGCAGACGAATAAACTGCCCGATGGACGACGTAAATTTCTAGGCCCCGGTCGTTGTATTAAAGTCGAACGCGAATTTCCGTGGTCCTTGAACGTAGATACAACACGATTATGGCGGACGTTTTTAGAGGAAATACGGCTTTCGTGTCCTCGATTTTTATGGAGGCTCGGCCGAGCGATATTGGGATGGAAAAATATGCGAAACAGACGTTGAGATCCGTTTTGCAGCTGGCAAAATTTGTACTCGAGATCGCCTTGATTTTTTTTTGGACAACGACTTCGGACGAAACGAATCGACGCGAAGTACTTTTTATTCCGCGAAGGAAAGACGCACCGCATCATCGAAAAAAATCGAGATTTACTCTTTATACGTTTTATACTATTTATAGACTCTTTATAGACTCTTCTGTTATTTATATATTTAATTAATTACAGGGTGTCCCAAAAATGCCTCGCAATCCAAAAGTAGGGGATTCCTGAGGTCATTTGAAGCAACTTTTTCCTTAGCGAAAATGCAATCCGCGGCTTCGTTTACGAGTTATTAGCGTAAAACAGTGACCAATCAGAGGCGAGATCATTTGGCGCGAGACGGCCGAGCCAATGAACGGAACTGGACTCCGTGCATTCGTTGGCTGGGCCGCCGCGCGCCAGCCGAGTTCGCCTCTTATTGGTCAGTGTTTTTCGTTAATAACTCGTAAACGAAGCCTCGGAGAAAATTTTCGCAAAGGAAAAAGTTGCTTCAAATGACCTCAGGAATCTCCCATGTCCGGATTGCGAGACATTTCGGGACACCCTGTATGTATATATATATAATTTAATATAATATAATTTAACATATAATTTAATATATAATTTAATATAATATAATTTAATATAATATATTTTTTACAGTTTTATACAGTCGGTTCATGGAAAGACAGTGCATCAAACAAATCGACGACCCACTCATCGATTTGTTTGAAGCATTGTCTTTCGACGAACCGACCGTATAAAACTGTAAAAAAGGCCAGTATCGTTTCCGACTTGCTGAAACGATTGAACGAGAAAACACGTTTTCGACAATGTTCAAGGTGTTAATATCAGACGTGGCGCCTATTAAACGCGAAGATCAACAATCTCGATAAATGTTTAACTCACCGTAAATGTTGCATGCACTTTATCGTTCGAAGGAGCCATGAAGCAGTCCGTGCAGCTTAACGAAATTTTTCCCTCTCGCTGGGCTTCTCCCTTCACCCCGGGTAGGGAGATGAATAGATAAAACGGTGATCTACATAGGTGGACGTTCTTCGATCGGAAGCGGATTTGCATAAGCTGCGATTAAAGTGGCGTCCACGGTTCGCGAAAAGATCACCATTTAATGGATCACTTGGAAATTGGATTTCCGCGGAGACGTTAACGATATTGATAATGCCCGGCTATTAGATATCGGCTACGAGTGTTACGCGCGTCTTATCGTTACAATGTTACGTTGATGGCCGCGTAGAATTACATGCCGCATACTCCACGGTGTTCGACTTATAATGATTTTTAACGAAGGTTTATCTTCTAGGTTTTATCTGCCGGGCTCGAGAAATCGTAATGCCGCCATCTATCTCATCCCTTGCTACAGATGACTACGGCGCGCCGTGATTCGAACGGTTTGCCGCGCGATACGGACGATTATGGTCGTTCGTAAAATCGTTCCGTCCGTTCGGATTACATTCGCGTTAACGACGAAGGCGGACGGAACGATGCAGCTCATTAGGTGCCGAGAAAATGTGAACACCAAAAATTCGTGAGTGACTCGAGGGAAGAGACCTAGGTCGTAGTTTTCATCGTTTAAGGGTCGATTCACATCTACGTGCCAGGCTCGGTCCGTGCTCCGAGTCTGATCAAGGCCGAATCATTCTTACGTTTGATTTACATTGGAGTGTTCATATTACGCGTGCCGTGTTCGCAGCGTGCCAGGCCGCGTCCGTCACCGTCCAAACGTGCTCACACTCGCAGGCAGGACCAGGCTTGCTTCGCCTGTAATCAAAACAAAGCGAGACGGAACTACGGAATTGGTACGATGTGGACAGAGTGCGCAACCTTTTGTTCCAACGTTGCAGGCAATAAATCCGGGAAAGCATTTCGACTTGTCAAAGCATGCAAAAAAAGGAATCAATGAAGGCTAGATGGTGGATCGACTTCTGATGACCATTTGTGAGTCATAATTCGATAAGATGTTAAATTTTGAAGAAAGTAACAGCTTTTCAAAGAAACTGGTTGGTATTGTTTAGCGAACAAATGGGATCGAAAGGTAATTCCCTGATTCTTTTCGGCTTTCAATTCGTAGGCTTACCACATTTTCAAAAAGTATAATTGTATTGTGCAAGTATCAATTTTCAAGAATAATGTTTTACACATGCGCTATCATTAATTTCAACGCGTAAGTATAATCTACTAAGTATGATACAGCTATACGAGTATAATAAGGATTTATTTAACTTTCATTTCATACAATTAAACGACGCATGTGTTATTTTGTTGAAAATGTATAAATTAGATATAACCCTGATATAACCCTGACATAACTTTGGCATAACCCTGACATAACTTTTGACATAACTTTGACATAACTTTCGGCATAACTTTGGCATAACTTTGGGTGTTTAAATTACAAAAATAAAGATTTCGTGTAGGACGACGTTTTATTGGTTTTCTAACATTTTTAACTTAATATAAAAATAATATTTATATTTTTCATAAAAATCATTATAATCTTACAAAAATGATAGCGTGTTTGGTCTTATTTTAATCGGGAAAGGCTTCGCAGTTGCAACTTTTGTCATCTTTCGGATACAGTCGAACGATCATGTTCGGCGGTTTCGTCGAGAGTATCCGATCATCAGCTGAAGGTAGCTTTGCGAATTAAGCGGACACGTCTGGCCCGTGGCCGACGTTCGATTGTCTGTGCTGGCAGAGAATTTCACGGCGCCGAAGATGATACGCTCGATAACGGATTCGCCGGGAACAGATCGACGCACCGTCGGAAATAAAGGAGCAGGGTTTGCGGCCGCGACAGATAACATCGGCGAAAGATTCCAGCTGTTGCCGGCCTGGGTCCACGGTATGATGATCCTGCTGCCGTCCTTTTGATGTCAAACGAGCAGCCCGATGATGATCCCGCGAACGACACAGGTTAGGGATACCGGCACCATCGTCCGTTTTCGACGGCCGCACCCCCGTCAGCGCGCATCGCGAATAAATTACCCGGGGATACCTTTCACCCTAAACTAAACAAACAAACCTTCGCCGTACTTTCGCCATTGTTTCTTTCTTATCCCCCCACACGAAAACATTAAAAAATCTCCACGATTCCTTCTGCACTAAAATTCTATTTTAACACAATATTTTTACGTTTGATCTGATTTTTCCACTTCGTTCGGTTTTCGTTAAATGTTCGATCTTTTCGTGCGTAAAAAGTGGCGACCATAGGCTCTATTTAAATTGTAATTTCAGTGGAAAGACAAAAACACATTCTCGAATTTCAAGATGTTTGGAATATTTTAAGGCCAGGCAAGAATAAAACAAACAAATAAAAAATATGAATAATCTGAGATAAAATTCGTGCATCCCCGTATGCACCGTGAGCTGAAACAGTTTATCAGTTCGCACAACGAATTCGCTGAATTGCTTCGCCGAATACCGCTCTATTATACAGCAGCCATTTGAATTTTTAACTTTCATAAAGTATTTGATTCCCTAACAGACCAGCCCGTGGATAAACCCGGCGTGTCATCGCAAAATGTTAGTGGTCCAGCGTTGCCGGTTCAGAGTCTAACACCGGGTCAGAAACCGTCGAAAGCGAACAAAAGAGAGAACAAGAGGCGGAGCCTGTGCGACCAAAAGATTAACAACGATGGTGCGTCTAGAATTTTGCCATAACAGCAATTTACTGTTATATTCGATGATTGATCGTCTATCGCTCTGAACAATCGTCTCCAACCATAATTATTAGACTGTAGAATTACTATATATAATTACTGTACAGGCTGTCCCAAAAATGTCTCGCAGTCCGAAAGTGGCGGGTTCCTCGGGTCATTCGAAGCAACATCTTCCTTTACNCAGCTGTTGCCGGCCTGGGTCCACGGTATGATGATCCTGCTGCCGTCCTTTTGATGTCAAACGAGCAGCCCGATGATGATCCCGCGAACGACACAGGTTAGGGATACCGGCACCATCGTCCGTTTTCGACGGCCGCACCCCCGTCAGCGCGCATCGCGAATAAATTACCCGGGGATACCTTTCACCCTAAACTAAACAAACAAACCTTCGCCGTACTTTCGCCATTGTTTCTTTCTTATCCCCCCACACGAAAACATTAAAAAATCTCCACGATTCCTTCTGCACTAAAATTCTATTTTAACACAATATTTTTACGTTTGATCTGATTTTTCCACTTCGTTCGGTTTTCGTTAAATGTTCGATCTTTTCGTGCGTAAAAAGTGGCGACCATAGGCTCTATTTAAATTGTAATTTCAGTGGAAAGACAAAAACACATTCTCGAATTTCAAGATGTTTGGAATATTTTAAGGCCAGGCAAGAATAAAACAAACAAATAAAAAATATGAATAATCTGAGATAAAATTCGTGCATCCCCGTATGCACCGTGAGCTGAAACAGTTTATCAGTTCGCACAACGAATTCGCTGAATTGCTTCGCCGAATACCGCTCTATTATACAGCAGCCATTTGAATTTTTAACTTTCATAAAGTATTTGATTCCCTAACAGACCAGCCCGTGGATAAACCCGGCGTGTCATCGCAAAATGTTAGTGGTCCAGCGTTGCCGGTTCAGAGTCTAACACCGGGTCAGAAACCGTCGAAAGCGAACAAAAGAGAGAACAAGAGGCGGAGCCTGTGCGACCAAAAGATTAACAACGATGGTGCGTCTAGAATTTTGCCATAACAGCAATTTACTGTTATATTCGATGATTGATCGTCTATCGCTCTGAACAATCGTCTCCAACCATAATTATTAGACTGTAGAATTACTATATATAATTACTGTACAGGCTGTCCCAAAAATGTCTCGCAGTCCGAAAGTGGCGGGTTCCTCGGGTCATTCGAAGCAACATCTTCCTTTACAAAAATTTTCTCCGAGGCATCGTTAACGAGTTATTAACGAAAAACAATAACCAATGAGAGGCGAGCTCAGCTGGCGCGAGGCGACCGAGCCAATGAGCGGAACTGGGCTTCGTGCGCTGGTTGACTGGGCCGCCTCGCGTCAGCCGTACTCGATTCTTATCGGTCACTGTTTTCCGTTAATAACTCGTTAACGATGCCTCGGAGAACATTTTTGTAAAAGAAGAAGTTGCTTCAAATGATCCGAGGAACCCGCCATTTCCGGATTGCGGGACATTTTTGGGACATCCTGTGACACGCGGTTCGTCGATTTTCATCGATCAGAATCCCGGGTTTCCGGCGACATATGCAGAATATGCCACATGGGCGGGTTTCCCAGAACCGGCAACAGCCGAACAACGAGACCAAGGCGAAGCCAAGCTGTCCGTGGAAACGACAGCGAGACATCGACCGCGTCATCCTGCGCGTACCTCGGCCCTTTGATCTCCGCTTGCATGTGAGACTTATCAATATTTATCGGGATCCATCGCGATCGATCGCTCCCGGTGATCCGATTCGATCCGATCCGATTCGAAGCGGCCGAGCGATCTGGGTCACGTCTGGATTAAGACTCCTGTCGCGATTGATCGCGACGTGGAGGATGCTTGACTCCTTTCCGACGATTGACGCTCGGCGATGCGTCGCGCGATTCCCTCGAAACGATTAGGGAGGGGTCGTCGCGCGGGTTAACTATCAATTCTTGAAACGTGCTCTCGAAATCCTTCGTAGAAATCTTCAACCCTTTCGCTACGCGAGCGACGATACACAGCGAACGCATAATTCCATTATGGATGCGATCGAAATCGGGTCACGACGGTGCGAATAATTATTAACCCTTTGCACTCGAAGCTATTTCAACCGTAAGCCTAAAATAATTTTTCTGACTTAACAGTATTTCCATTTTATACGACAAAGTGCATTTTAATGCACATGAAATTGAGTCTTGCGGTGACTCGTTCAACAGTTACACTTTTTTAACAATTTCCTAAATGTAAACTTCGTTGATATAAAAATTATCTTGGAACATGATACAACAATCTTAGCGGCGCCTCAGTGTCACCACTCGAGTGCAAAGGGTTAAGATCGCGGATCGTTGGGCGACTTGAAAATTGTCGAGGAATGCGATATGCGCGAAAATGCGTCTTTTTTCTTTCGACGATCGCGATCGATCGGAATTTTTTTTGGACGAAAAACGTGCGCTTTCGTTGATTTAATGAAATATTGACGATGCTTGCGCCGTGAATTCCAACGCGTCGATCGATCAATAGTTGGAGGACAGAAGTAGGAGCAGCGGGGCTAATAATGGTGAGACGATTTGATTGGGATCGACAGGTGTCGCGGAACAGTGGCTCTCGTGCATGCGGCGTGCCTCGAAAGATGGCTGACGGAATCGGGTCACACGAGCTGCGAGCTTTGCGGATACAAATACGTGACCAAGAGGGTGCCGCGTCACAACATCATCCGCAGCGTCGCGATATGGTTCAACACCGTAATAGTCACTCGACAAGTAAGAGCTTCAATCGCACTCTGCCAACTGTGATCGACCGCTTTATTCCCTATTCGCGTTCTATTTGCTGATTAATCCACCGCGTTGATCGCTCAGTTTCATTGATAATTGGTCGGTCGTTCGATCACTGAATTTCCATCATAATTGGTCAATCGTTGATCACTCAATTTCAATGATAATTATTTAATCATTGCTTACTACATTTCATTGACAATTAATCATTGATCAACTGAATCAATTGAATGATCAAATCGTTGATCATTCAATTTCATTGTTCACTACAATTTTATTAATGATTATCTAGTCATTGTTCATCCAATTTTATTGATAATAATTCAATTGTTGGTCACTTAATTTCTTTGATAATCTTTGATCGCTCAATTTCCTTGATAATTAGTTTGTTGTAATTAAATCGTTGTTCGGTTCATTTTATTAATAATTATCTAATCGTTGCTCACTCAATTTCATTGATAATTATACAATTGTTGGTCGCTACATTTCATCGATAATTAATCAATCGTTGACAATATCAATTTCATTGATAATTATTCAATCGTTGATAATATCAATTTCATTGATAATTAGTAATCGTCGTAATTAAATCGTTGTTCACTCCATTTTATTAATAATTATCTAATCGTTGCTCACCCTATTTCATTGACAATAATTCAATTGTTGGTCACCCTTCCTTAAGAAAGATAATCAGTTTCTTTTCTCGGTTATTCTTCGATTGCTCTTTCCATTAACATTAGAAATTGATCTTCGTTTAGTCTATTCGTCCATTCGTAAAACAAAACAAAAATCAGAACAGAAATCGTTATTTCCTTTAATCCTTTATACCCGGCGCAAATCGTTTCATAAATATTCTGTAAATTCCGACTATTGTTTCGGAAATGTTCAGTGGATGTTGCTGTTTGCTGGAAAGAGGATATTTTTCCATGCAATTATTTTTAGATGCTATTGGACATCCTCTATTTAATCGTCACGACGCCGCTCGCTATATTCTCCTGCTACATTTGCGCGCTGGCCCTGAACATGTTGCTGAAGAACGGCATATTCGCGGTGCCCTGGATGATCGTCACCATGCTTCCCACCTGTCTCCTCACTTTGGTGGCGTATTGGGGATGGATCATAACTTTGGGAAGGTATAGACGGCTAAATTAACAACCGTCGCCCGCGCGCGTTCGAAAGTCCAGCCGATCCTTTTTCCTAAAAATTCAACGCGGCCTCTTTAACCCTTTCTGTACGAGCGCGTTGTCCTCCGTGACACTCCCACTGTACGGGGTGCCGCGCCGAAAATGCGCACATAACGCAGGGTCAGTCCACTTTTGTACGAAGATTTTCTTAAGCGTTAAGTAATGACTGTGCATAATCCGTTTCTAAATCTTTCTTTAAATGTTTCCTGTAAACATTCTGTAGAGGGCCTACAGAAATATGGCTTACATGGATGCCAGATGTATTCGGCACTCGTCCATATTGGTCATCAGATGGATGCCGGATATATCCGGCGCTCGTACCGAAAGGGTTAATCCTTCCGAATTGAAAAATATAAATAAAATCATGAAGCATTAAAATATCGAAACATCGAGATCACGGTACACGAAAACATTAAAATACCAAAGCACTGGAATAGTCGATAATGATGCATCGAAGTGCAGTAAATTTTCCCTAATTGACGCTCGGATTGCACACAAAAATGGGCGATTTGGGAAGAGGAGACACGATTATTCGGGCCTTGCGGCTCGTTCTTACAGTCGCCGACAAAATCGGTAACTATAATAATCGATCACTAATCCTCTTTTCTTTTCTCAAATTGTCCATTCTTTATGCGCAATCTAAGCGTCGATTATGGAGAATTCAACGATTAAAAAATGCGTAGATTACACGGGCGTCGATGGCGTCGTTACTGGCGCAACAATTTCGTGATTAGGTTGGTGCCGAACAACGGCATCGCAGCTGAAACGATACCGGAAGTGAGCACGCCGGATTTCGAGACGAGCTGGCCCGAGGACGAAACCGAAGAAGCAACGGAGGCTTCCGACGCGCCGAACGAATCGATCTGAGGAGATCCTGTTGCCCCGAGATCCCGCCGCGGACGATTGTAACGGCTCGTAATTGGATTTCATTAAACTGTGGCTTTAATCGAAGCCGATTACCGGCCGGCGACGGCGATTAATCGCGGCGTCGATCATAAATTCGCCGGCCGCTTCCGGATGCCAATCGTTTCACGCAATAAATCGAAAATTAGCTCGTGAACATCGAACGTTGCGATCTCGTCGTTTGTTTCGGCGCGCCGCGTCTTCCGCCGTTAATTAATAATATATAGCTTGTTTGCTTAGCCCGTGGAAATAACGATCGACAGCGATTCAATCGAACAGCAATTCGAGTTGAAGAATCTCGAACCGAATAACGTTCAGATATTCGAACGCAGCTCCACTAAATATCGATTCAATAAAAAAAGAAAAAGAAAGAAGAAAAAACCGATTCTTCTGTCCGATTCGTTTTCCCGAATCAGTTCCTTTCGATCAATTACAATCCGGCCGGTTTTCTTCGAGTTTATTGCGACGTTTAATTAGTGGCCGATTAATTACCGCGCGTATTACTTCGCGACACCTTTTAATCATTATCTTCGCGCGAACTCCACGAATCAGGGCGATACGCGGCCGCGACATTTCGACGTGCGTTTTATCGATCCGTTGGATCTGAAAAAAAAAGAAAGGATCCAGGCGAGAAGCGGTTGCAATGAAGATCCTTGTAAGCTCGGAACGGAAGACAGAGAGCTTCGGGATGAAAGAAAAACGAATTAACCGGGTAAACCTGCTCCCAGAAGTCGTCCCCGGTGAAAGATCCCGTTGAATTTCACTTTCGAACGATCGAAAGTTGTCGTTGATGATGCGACGGCGTCTAGTCGGCCGCAGAAAACAAAAAAAAAAGGGAGGAAGCCTTTACGTTTTATCTGGCATCCGAATCAGCAGACCTCTCGCCTCGCAGATAAATCAACTTCAAAACGTCGCCCGTTCTCGGTTCCCGAACCGCGGGCACCCGGGACCGTCCAATTTTGCCGGCCGAATTCCAACACCCGCCGTGCAATCTCCGACTGTCTCTCCTCGGCGGACATTCTGTCCCTTCGTTTCCCATACTTTTTATTTGACAAGCACAGAGCATAAGGATCGCATACCACCGTCATCGTCGCGGAAGGCTCCGACGATCCGAACGAGGTAACACGCGCGAGACGCGCGCGTGCAACTATCCCCGGGCAACGTCATCCTGCGATATACAGGGTGTTCCGTGATTATTTTTGCACTCGGGATGGGACGATTCCTCAGATCGTTTCGAGCAACTTTTTCCTTAGCGAAAATGCGATCCGCGGCTTCGTTCGCGAGTTATTAACGAAAAATGCTGGCCAATGAGAGGCGAGCTCGCCTAGCGCTAGGCGGCCGAGCCAATCAGCGGAACTGGGCAACGACCTGGGCGCCGCCTAGCGTCAGCTGCACTCGCCTCTTATTGGTCAGTGGTTTTTCGTTGATAACTCGTGAACGAAGCCGCGGATCGCATTTTCGCTAAGGAAAAAGTTACTTCAAATGGCCCGAGGAATCACCCCAACGTAATTATGGTACACCCTGTATGTATCTCTGCGCGCAGATCTAGATCCAGATTGCTGGTCACGAAATATCCAAGCGCATTCGACGACCGAGGTATCGTTGGGATCTCGTGAGTTGGTATCTCGCGCAGCACGTGGGCGACTCGTTGATTGGATCTAGAGGCGACTGATAAGGCTCGCGTGACGATCCGTCCACCTCCGAACACGTTTCGGAACATTTATATTTTCTGCCAGCCTGGCTGGGATTGCGATCGATTGTCTCTGTTCACGAGGAAAGTCTGAATGTCTTTAAGAAAACTTCGAGCGTTTCGTGAAACAGATTTCTTTGATTTTTCTCGATCTTTTAGGGTGCCGTGACCTTATACGTGATATATTATTATAATAAAAAAGAAGCAATTTTTCTTATTTTTTGGTATTTTATTTGTTGATTTTGTTAGCGGTTTTAATTAGAAGAAAATGATTGTTTCGTTGGTTAAAAAATCAGAATTTGAGAAATAAATTTTAAGGAGCAATATTCTCCTTATTTTCTATATGTTTTTCAGTGTCGGTATAATTAAATGAGAACGATTGTTTATTCGGTTAAAAATTCGGGCTTCGAGAAATAAATTTGAAGGAAATACAAAAATAACGAAGAAATAACATTTTCCTTATTTCCTAGGTTTTCTTCAGTATCGGTGTAATTAAACGCGAACGATCGTTCCATTAGTTTTAAAGTCGAGGCTTTGAAAAGTTTTCAACAAAAAACAAATTCCGCTTAAGATTCAATCTTCTTCCACTGAAAGTAAATTGACGTTGCATACCTCGCAAGCCTCCGCGGATCTTTCGACCGTAGAACTCGCGCAAGTATTCGCGGTGATTGCAAGTTTTTCGTTTCATAAGTGAAGGATGATTATTTTCAGCTTGGCAAAAATAACGTTGACGGGCAGAGATATTAGCATATAATTGCCGGAGAGTTTCCATTAATTCTTCGACAAACGGGAATGAACGGTCGCGGAGCCCTTCATTTGTTTACGTCGACGCGACGCTGGCGGTTTAATTAAACGTCAGACGAGCCGAGCCGACCGGCTCCGAATTATTATTGTCATCACGATCCTCGCGCGACAGACGCGCGATATTATTATCGATTGTCCATTGGACACACAATTGGATTTAACTGTTCGCGGAACAATTAAACGCGTCGGTATCGTCGCCGAAATCCGCACGTAAAATGTAACATTCGCAGCGCATCCGTTTGAAGATTTTCATTGCTTTCCACTTTCGTTATTTTACGGCGGCGATTCTGAGGTACGAGTATCGTTTTCTTAACGTTCGAGGACAAATTAGTAATAAAAGAACGGCCGGTAAAGTGACACCAGCGCGATAGTAACGAAACGGGAGGCCGTAAAGTCGTATCACTGTTACCGCGAATATAAAACCGATTTTTCATATTTTTCCCAGGTTGATTTAGCGTTATGCAGTCACGGTTTTCGCCAAAAGTATGCGGTTTTCAGATAACAGCTATAAAAGTACAGGCGATGGAAATCTTATCAGCGCAATTGCCGGTGGTAATACCGTCGGCAGGAATCCCAGCGTTTCGCTTCAACCTCGATATTGTTGGTATTTTCGTGTTTTAGTGTGCAATAACGTCGTGCGGACGGCTCGGAAGCCAATCAACGCGAGTCCATTAAATTCCAAACTGCGATAAACAAGGATGTTGCAAATTGGCTGTAAAAATATAACAATGCCGCTAATTATGCGATGCAGAATTACCATAAGATGGCGGAAATTATTACGAGATCGCATAGAAACTGTCGAAACATAGAAAAATCAAATCAAAGGCATTTCAGAGAGACTTTATTACAATTGATCCAATTAATTAATTCGGCCAGATATACATAATTGGCATCTGCTGTTTTATCGACGATTTTTGATATCTATTAAGCCACTGAATCGTGTCAACGAAATTTTTACAAGCTTGTACATATTAATTCAACTGTTATTGTTACTTATCAACGGGTAAATTGATCGATAATAAATCTTCCAAGAGCGAACAGAATTATCTGAAACGCGGGAATAACTTATTGGGTTGGCAACTAAGTAATTGCCGATTTGTTCAATGAAATCAAAATTTTTTTTTACTTGGCATGAAGTTTAATCTGTAATGTATTTTCTATTTTGTTCGATGACCTTTTGCCTGTCTCTTATACACATCTAGATGTGTATAAGAGACAGGCGGAGATAAATAAAGCAATCGATTCTAATATTTAATAATTATTAAACAGATAAATATTGGGTTGGCAACTAAGTAATTGCCGATTTCAGTTATAGATGTCTCTCACTCCCATTTTTATGATATCCGTAAATGTTATATTATAAAATTATTATTATTATTATTACGTTATTTTTTATTATCCCTGAATGTTAGCAACTGGACAAATTGAATGCAGCGGTCAAGGAAAAGCGACCAGAATTGGTCAATCGTAAAGGTGTCATTTTCCAGCAGGACAATACTAGGCCTGTCTCTTATACACATCTAGATGTGTATAAGAGACAGGCGGAGATAAATAAAGCAATCGATTCTAATATTTAATAATTATTAAACAGATAAATATTGGGTTGGCAACTAAGTAATTGCCGATTTCAGTTATAGATGTCTCTCACTCCCATTTTTATGATATCCGTAAATGTTATATTATAAAATTATTATTATTATTATTACGTTATTTTTTATTATCCCTGAATGTTAGCAACTGGACAAATTGAATGCAGCGGTCAAGGAAAAGCGACCAGAATTGGTCAATCGTAAAGGTGTCATTTTCCAGCAGGACAATACTAGGCCTGTCTCTTATACACATCTAGATGTGTATAAGAGACAGGCGGAGATAAATAAAGCAATCGATTCTAATATTTAATAATTATTAAACAGATAAATATTGGGTTGGCAACTAAGTAATTGCCGATTTCAGTTATAGATGTCTCTCACTCCCATTTTTATGATATCCGTAAATGTTATATTATAAAATTATTATTATTATTATTACGTTATTTTTTATTATCCCTGAATGTTAGCAACTGGACAAATTGAATGCAGCGGTCAAGGAAAAGCGACCAGAATTGGTCAATCGTAAAGGTGTCATTTTCCAGCAGGACAATACTAGGCCTGTCTCTTATACACATCTAGATGTGTATAAGAGACAGGCGGAGATAAATAAAGCAATCGATTCTAATATTTAATAATTATTAAACAGATAAATATTGGGTTGGCAACTAAGTAATTGCCGATTTCAGTTATAGATGTCTCTCACTCCCATTTTTATGATATCCGTAAATGTTATATTATAAAATTATTATTATTATTATTACGTTATTTTTTATTATCCCTGAATGTTAGCAACTGGACAAATTGAATGCAGCGGTCAAGGAAAAGCGACCAGAATTGGTCAATCGTAAAGGTGTCATTTTCCAGCAGGACAATACTAGGCCTGTCTCTTATACACATCTAGATGTGTATAAGAGACAGGCGGAGATAAATAAAGCAATCGATTCTAATATTTAATAATTATTAAACAGATAAATATTGGGTTGGCAACTAAGTAATTGCCGATTTCAGTTATAGATGTCTCTCACTCCCATTTTTATGATATCCGTAAATGTTATATTATAAAATTATTATTATTATTATTACGTTATTTTTTATTATCCCTGAATGTTAGCAACTGGACAAATTGAATGCAGCGGTCAAGGAAAAGCGACCAGAATTGGTCAATCGTAAAGGTGTCATTTTCCAGCAGGACAATACTAGGCCTGTCTCTTATACACATCTAGATGTGTATAAGAGACAGGTGTGTGTGTGTGTGTGCATATATTAAAACGCGCAGACGTTGAGCAACGTGTAACAACGTAT